GTAGTTCAGGATTACGCGATAATTACACAGCCGCTAATAAGCGGCGTTTAATTATAGCGTTATTGACGGCCTAATTAAATATGCACGTAGGCCTCAGATCGCGGGGTTTTAAAGGAAAAAGTTCCCGCCATATTTTCGACGAGGTCGACGAGTCGGCGGCGGAAACCAGATCGAATGACATCGAACGTATTTTTAGAATACTACAAAATGTCATTAAGTTTCCTCTGACTATAGTGAATATGCATGTGTGTGTCGCTCCAATGCTACGTTAATTATAAAGCGAGATTGAGACATGACTGACTCAAGGACAAATAAAAGTGTTTACGTATTTTTAAACTAAATGTCACTAAGGGCTGAATTTTTGAAAGACTCGGTGCCCACTTTTAAACAGTTTGGGATAGCGATTTCAAATTTTGAAGGGATTTTTGTCCAATGACCAATTTTTTTTTGACAATGTGTGCACTTCCAGTATGGACGGACAATAACTTTCGAATTTTAAATGACGCAACCTATTTTTTTTTTTTGCATTTTTGGGTTCAGGAGATCGTTCTTCGTAGGATAGGAAGGTTTTTCTCTTTTTTTTTGTTGTTTCACGTTTTTATTTCATTTTTTAAAATTGTATCTTTGTGTCTAATACCACATGATACTGGAAAAAATTGTAAATAAAACTTTTCTTTACTTAATGACAATGAATATATATATATATATATATATATATATATATATATATATATATATATATATATATATATATATATATATATATATATATATATATATATATATATATATATATATATATATATATATATATATATATATATATATATATATATATATATTCTCACGTATTGATTCACGGATGGAAAAATGTGATGACACTATATTCCGGGATATCATCCGTTCGCTCGTTGAACTCCGACTGGAATCCTGCATCCGACTGGAATCCTGCAAATCTTGCATCCGACTGGAATCCTGCAGACGTTTCGCCAAAATCTCACTTGGCATCTTCAATGCTCGCGCTCCGAGTGTTCGAAGTGTTTTCGGAGCGCGAGCATTGAAGATGCCAAGTGAGATTTTGGCGAAACGTCTGCAGGATTCCAGTCGGATGCAAGATTTGCAGGATTCCAGTCGGATGCAGGATTCCAGTCGGAGTTCAACGAGCGAACGGATGATATCCCGGAATATAGTGTCATCATATATATATATATATATATATATATATATATATATATATATATATATATATATATATATATATATATATATATATATATATATATATATATATATATATATATATATATATATATATATATATATATATATATATATATATATATATATATATATATATATATATATATATATATATATATATATATATATATATATATATATATATATATATATATATATATATATATATATATATATATATATATATATATATATATATATATATATATATATATATATATATATATATATATATATATATATATATATACACATATATATATATATATATATATATATATATATATATATATATATATATATATATATATATATATATATATATAGCGAAACTCTGTAACATATTAGTGAATTTTTAAAAATATCGAAACGTTGTTTTCGAAAAAACGAAAAAAAAGCGTTTAATTTTTGAAAATTTGGTGATTTCTGAATTCCATTTGCTTCCCGAGTTGAACTGTTGTCTTTCTTAAGCTCCATTCCCGTCGAAAGTTGACCATTTTGCCTATTTTGGCAAGAAAAGGCAAAAAGGATATGACATATGACCATACTTCTACAAGTCAAATAAAAATAAAATAAACAATAATAAAACAAAATATCATTTACCTGTCTGTATTCGTTTCTTGCTGCTTATTATCACAAACATCATGGTGCACTTTAAGTCTTTGAACCATCCCTTGAATTTCTTTCTTTCAGATTTTACAAATCACTCTACACATAGATTTATTTGTTTCAGTGCAAAACTGCCATGCTTTTTTTTTCTTCCAGCCATTTAAATGTTTCCTAATGTTCTAATTTCCACTAGTTCCACTCCTATGATAAACCACCAACTAAATAGGGGAAAACAGGTCAGGACAAAAATTTTCCTGCAAAAAGCGCCTTATTGAATTAAAAAAAAAACAATTAAAATAAAAAAACAAAAAATTCACGATTTTTTAATAAAAATATTTGCATCTTAAATGCACCCTGTACACTTTGTATGTAAAATCGAATGGAGAATAGGTCTGTGCAGCCAAAAATAACATACGTTATCTATATACCCGGTATCTCAAATTTCAACTAATTGCAATTTTACAGAACAGAAATATAATTTTTTAATAAAATCGAACAAATTAATATTTTTATTATCTCAAATTCGGCGTTGCCGGTTCTCTTATCGCCGATCGAATTAAATAAAACCACATTGACATTCAAGAACTACCGGCCGGTAGCCAACCGCTCCACAAGTACAGCTCTTAATAATAATGATTTGAGCCGCGCATTCGACAATGTCGATCACAGCCTGCTCTTAAAAAACTGGAAAGTATGAGCGTTGGAGGTCCAGCAAACTCGTGGGTTAAATCCAATTAGAGAGACGTTCTCTAGAAAACGTGGAGGCTACTAAGTTTCTCTGCTGCACATTGACAACAAACTTACGGGAAATCATCACATCGACAACATATTTCCCAGATTAAGGTCCTGCTCACACTTCATCCAAAATATTAGAGATACGGTATCCATTGCTGCTTTAAATCTGGTGTACTATAGGTTGTTCCAATCAGTGATAGGTTACGTTTTAATCTATTGGGGTCTAACCACCGGTGCACACCGGGTCTTCTTAGCACAAAAACGTACTATTCGTTACATGGTGCGTGTAATTAGTAAACATTCATGTGGGGATTTATTTAGGGAACTTCAGATCATGACGCTTCCGTTTTGATTTACGTCAAAAGTAACATGACAAGATGGAATAGGAGATATCGGGCAACAAAACCCAAGCTATTTTGGCTTCGAAGAAACTGATAATTTACCTGTGTTTAAGAAAAGAATTAATTTGACTCAAAAGGAATTAGAGGCGGTTAGGGAGAAGATCGTGATTGATGAGGACAATAGCAATGAAAGTCTTAAGCATTATTTGGATTTACCTACTCTTATGTATTGTAGCATTCCATTCCTTGTAAATTTATACTAAAAATAACGTGAAAAAATATTTATAGAACATATCGACGCGGTCTATATTCCACCCACAGTTGTTCTTCAACTACTGAACCCGAATTTACATACTTCATGCTTTGTAAAATATCACCAAAAATGAAACCGGGTGTTACCAGCGGTGCGCTCACGCACCATAAAACATTATGCGTTTTTTTTTGTATCAAATCAGGTTTTTTTCAGTATTTTTTTATGTTTTGAGTTTTTTTTGACACATGTAATGTATGCAACAGAATATATAATTTCAGGGCAAAAAAGTGTTTTTTTTTATTTTTTTTTATGCTTGGGATAATATGGGTCAAGATTTTTTTAACTAATAGGTGTCTCTACTCAATAGATGATTTTTTTTAAATGTATTTTATAAATGTATTGTTTAAATACTATATTTTAATGTGATTTGACGTGCTTAATATACCCATATATGTGTTATATGTAGTATCGAAAAGCGAAAGAAATTATCTATCTTTCAATCTGACTAGAAAGAAACTACGCTTTTGTGGTCTGTAATCCGTCGCCAAAAACGAAACGTTGCGAAACACAGCCACCTAAGCGGATCCTGACGTTATGTGTGAAGCAATCATCGTCCGACGTAACGGTCTTCTAAATATGAAAGCTCGTTGCCACTAACGCACCAATATCGTTCCACACCGCGGGCAAAACAACGCGTACGCTTCTTTGTCTACGCTGCGCGGTCCTATTTCTCCGAAAAACAAAAGACGCCGCAAACCGAATTTTCATAGCTGCTATGATTTTTTGAAATACGGGATGGTTTTTGATTTTTTTTTTATCTTCTATTAGTCTCGAGAAATAAGTGAAGTGGGTTTCATAAGCAAAAGTACATGGCAAAACAGGCCATTTTTTAGTCCAAAAGTAGATATTAACTGAGATAGTCAAAGCTGCAAATTCATTTTTGATTTTTTCAAAATAACTCTTGAAATATTTTTTTGCACAAAAAAACATATACCGTTTAAATTTCGCCAGGAGTGACAATGAAAGACAGTAAAATTACGCGAAGTGGGCTCTGAAGAAAGCAGACGCAATAAAATACCTGCGAAATTTTTGAAAGTAGAGTTTGACTAAGAAAATACTATAAAGACACTTGGTTTCTGGTGAATTTCTTTGCCGTTTGTCAGTATCTTAGGCGTTTTTAAAAAGTTTTGGTGAGTTTTTCGATAATGCAAAGATATGACTTTGACATTTGACAACCGAACGCCATTTCCAACAGGAATTTGAAATAAATGTTTAATAATTGACAGTTCCATATTATGACCCATCGAACTACCACCTAATTTACTAACCAAAACTAACCAAAACTAACCGCAGGACGCAGGAAGCATCCAGAAATTTTGTAAACAGCATTGTTCTCAATTTCATTTATTTATTTTTTATTTTTCAGAAATACTTATACGATTTTTTCTTCAGAAACTAAAATTATAAGTTATACCAGTTATATAAGAGTGTGTTGCGCTATGCTACTTTATTTATATCTTTTATCGGCAACGGATATCCAAAAATGTGTTTCGTTTTACAAAAAAATGCCCACCAAACTCTTAAATGCCATAAATGACCCATATGTCACATAAATGATTAGTAACTGACGGTCATATGACATGACATTAAAAAGACGATCATTTTACATGTCTGAAAACAACCATAGAGTTTTGGTATCCAAAAAAATCCAAAGTCCAGTCCAAAAATGTCCTCTAAACTCTTCAATGACATAATTCATGACCCACATAGAGTTTTAGTGTTGAAAGATATCAAAGTCTTACCGTCTGTGGCCTCCCGCTTGCGCCTCGCCACTTTGCCTCGCTGGCGGCTCGACTCGAGCCTGACTGAGCGCGCTCTCCACGCTAGATGCCAAACTGGAGACGCTGGATGATAAACTACGAGGCGGTCTGGACCTGGAGGAAGCCGAACTGCTCCTAGCTCTCCCTGTCGGTTCCCCGGACACCCTGGACTCCCTAGACCTGCTTCTAGCACGTTCGACGCTCAGAGGTAACCTGGAGGGGGCACTAACGGGCCTGACGGAAGAAACCGCCAGCTCTGGGGCGGCAGCGGCCGGTTCCGCTTGGAAATCGAGGTGTTCAAGCCGTCTCATCGAGCTGCGAAGCCAAGTGGTGCCGTCGCGACTGGGCGGCTGCTCCACCACTACGGTTCCGGTGAAACAGTCGCTCGAGTTGTGGGCTAGCCGTTCCCGATCTAAGCGGAGTTGGTCGAGCGAGACGCCACGCGTTCCCGAAGTTCCGGCCAGGCCCGTCGTACTCGAAGACTTCCGCCTCTGCAGTTGGGCGCGTTCCCTTTTGACCACCGTCACGGTCGCTCTGCCTGCGGAACCAAAGAAGGTTCATTACGAAGAAACAAACAAATTTTTACTTAAACTCAGCTACGTTTTAACCTCTGCTATAACCAACCAATCCAACTTTGACGATACCTCCCGATTATAGACATTTATACACTTCATATATAATATAAGTTATTTATTTATAACTGACTTCAAAGCACTACTAAACACTGTCACCGGAGCCTTAAATTACAACATCAAAATAAAATAAATATACAACAAGTTGGTATTTTATGTAAGTCCTTTCGAGTTTAAGTAGAAAATACTATTAATAAACAATTTGGTTAGTTTACCCAGAGGAAGTTAATAAAACCTTAGTTAGTATTAAAACTAACGCTCATGGCTCAGGCAATATTGATATAAACATGATTCATTTGACTACTCCACGTTTAGTCGGTCATATCACTTTCCTTGTTAACGAGCGTCTGCTGATTGGGGTTTTTCCGGACTCTCGGAAGCAGGCCGAAGTTATACCCGTCCCAAAAAAAGAGTGTCCAAGTTATTGGAACAAATAGTGACGACGCAGAAGATGCAAACAACTTGCTCTTTGCGCTATAAATTGTCGTTGTCGAATACGTCTCGCCTATTTAATTGGTGGTTTATCAAAGGAGTGGAACTGGTGGAAAATCGAGAATTAGGTGAAAACATTTAAATGGTTTAATTTAATTTAATTTTCATAATTTTTATGTACATACTTATTTTTATTTTTTACGATACTAAAAAAAGTATTTCGTATTCATATCGTATAATTGCTTTATCTTAAGAAACAATGTCCAATAAACCCTTTACTAATTGCTTAAAGACAAATTGGACGCGTACGACACTCAAGACATATAATGTTAAATTTTAAAAAATGTATGTTTTATTCGCAACGCTTTTTGGGTCACCCTGTATACTTTCAAATAATAAGTCGTGCATCCCGACAACCCTCGCAACTTTTGCGTTTACCGCTTTCTCATAACTTTGGAAACCGATGCGCAAGCAAAAAACATTACCGCGCATACCCGGTGCACTCGACGGAGACGTTTCGGCGCGTACTGCGCAGCAGGACCGCGTTCTGCGCAGCTCACCATCGCAGCTGCGACGATCGGTGCCTCCGGACGCCAAAAATTTGCCGTAGTTCTCCTCTATGCGCCGCAACCTACTTCTCTCGGCTTCTTCATCGAAATCCTCGACCGTCGGGCTTCCTACGGCACTTTCGCCGTCGGAATCGTCCTCGATGGTCCGCAGGTAGTTGTCCAAGTCCTGGAGACACTCGTCGATGACTCGCTGGGCATCGCATTCGTCGGTTAAAGTCTCATCTAGCAGGGCGTCGAGGTTCTTCAGAACCTGCAGCGCTTCTTCGTCCTGCGACAAGTTCAGGAATTCCTCGCTGACGCAGTCCACGTCTGCGTCTTCTATGCTGATCAGGATGTCCTCCACGCCCACCGGAGGCTTGCGGGGGAGTTCCGCGACAGCGGAGGCGGTCTGCAGCTTGCGCTCGAACACCGGAAGATCGGTATCGATTAGGTTGTCGGTGTCGACGGTTACGTCGGAAAGGGAAGCGGTTCTGGGCAGTACGGGAGAGTCGACTCGGAAGTCGATGAGATCGTCCGGGCTACCTGGAGTTTCCGAAGACATCGTGCATGTTCGCAAATTCGCCTGCAACAGAACGGAGTGCGTCGGTATAGTACGGTTCGAATTAGGGCGTGTATACCGAGTCCGAAATCACGCCGTAAAATGCGAAGCGTTTTTCTGTTAAATTTCGACGGGGATTGGAGATTTTAGGGGGGGGGGAGAGATATCCGACTGAATTTCTTAATATCGAAGTTCGTTCTACATTATACAAGGTTCGTCAAAACTAATGATTTGCCTACTAGATACGAAAATTATCGCCTCTTTTTAATTAGCCAGTATTCTAATGCAAATAGACGCGCGACTTTAACGCACCCCATACGTAAAAATCTAGTGGCGTGAAATCGGGCGATCCCGCAGGCCGATCCCACGAGATGGTAGCAAATGAACGAATGTTCAAATAATCGGAAATCGTAAATTCGTAAATTCATAGGGTAATGCAGAACAGGAACATAACCCCTGACTTCCTACTTTGCTTAGAATTTAATTATTTGGGGTTTTATTAGGAAATATACTAAACAATATTTATTTATTTATATATTTATTGCATTGCATGCTAATAATAATAATAATATTAATCCCATTCAAAAGCAATTGGTCACTTTCTTATATCTATGAACAAACCAGGTAAAGTAAAGAGAGACCTTTTCTCTGACTATGCCATCGCAACTCGTACCGACTATATCTACTACTTAAATGCTATCGCTTATCGTCTCGTGCGACGTTCTACGTCGTTTAGCGACAAACATTGGCTGCGGTGACTCACGGGCCCCTGACTCGTCGATTCGGGATGACTTTCTACGTGGTTAACAGAGATCGAGACCTCTCCCATTTGAAACGGCGACCTTTCGTAGCCGCGGCGTTAATTTTTTCGACGAATTCACGTCGATCTTCATCAAAAATTTAACCGAATTACTGTATGTTGTTTTTGACCGGCCATGCGTGTTTCCGTTCGAGCAACGGTAACCCAAATATTTGCGTCAGAGATATAAACATTCGCGGCCGTTAAAAAGCGTGAAGTTTTCAACGACAGCGATAAACTCTGCCGACGTCTTCCTTTTTATATCGCACAGCCTTTAACCATACTTAAATATTTAAAATACTTTTCTGCTTCCTCATCTTGATTGAAACATATTTTTCTAATAACTTCTTTCTGTAATATAATTATGAAATGCTTTGACACCTTCCATCTAAAACCAAAATTATGGAAAGGCTTGGTATTTGGTCTCACGACCAAGAATTCTTCAGCAATTTAAATTCTATACAACTTGACATACGTTTCACCATTGAATTAAAACTAATAATAATTTATAACAGAGGTTCTACAAGAAAAAATAAAAGAAATGGCGGGATTATATAAAAAGAGACAACCGGCAATACTAACTGATCACAATGGTAGAATTATCATCGAGGTGGAAGAAAAGTTCAGAACATGGAAGTAATACATAATAGAACTTTTCAACGATGATAGAGATATTAACAGAATAAGAATAGAACCAGATAAGAATAGACTAGAAATAACTAAAGAAGAGGTCATCTGTGCTATAAAGACCATAAAAAATGGAAAAGCTGCAAGAAAGTGACCAATTGCTTTTGAATGGGAATCTTTTACAATTCGGAAATGGCGACTGGAACATCTAGAAAAAATTAGGATTTACAGAGTACAACCAAGGCCAATTATTTACTTGGATGGACTCAACTGATGTGTAAAACAAACGCGTCATCAAAAAGAGGTAAAAGAATAACTATTTTGCATGCTGGCTCTAAAAATGGTTGGATTCCAAATGAACTTTCTCTGTCTGTAAAAAATATTAAAGATTCTTCCCTGGATTACCATGAAGACACCACCGCTGATTTATTTGAAAGTTGGTTTAAAGACAAACTAGTTCCAAACATTCCTCCTAATAGCGTCATTGTAAGGGACAGTGCACAGTAGATAGTTGACTAAAACCCCTTCCTCATGTGACACAAAAGCAACAATCCAAAACTACATGTGTAATAACGACATTTATTTTCACGAAGATTATACCAAAAAGCAATTAATTGAGGTTCTACAAAGCTTGAACCTTCAAGAGGAATACGTCTGTGATAATTATGCAAAAAATCCAGGGCATACAGTTTTAAGGCTTCCACCTTACCACTGTGTATTTAATCCCATTGAACATGTTTGGCACCAACTGAAATCTGCCATTCGCCGTAACAATGTTCTTCCCCGTGTTAACTCCAATGTCCTCAAACTTATAGAAACCGAAGGTTTTAACATCCCTTCACAAAGTTGGGCAAATTCTGTTACACATATAGAAAAAGCAGAACAATAATATAGAACAAATAATAATTAGAACAGGCGATGATAGCGATAGTGATACTGATATATTATGTGAATAATTTTAAGTAATTTAAGTAGGTAATAAAAATAATTTGCAATTTTATTTTAGATTTAAACATAAATACATACATAAATAAATAAATATACGGACCTCTTCGGCCATATTTCATTCTTACAGCTTGCCCTGGTCTTTCCTTAGTTCGTATCAGTTAATCACTTTCTTATATCTACAGATTTTACCCAAAGAAATTATTACCTTGGTAAGAGAGGACAACATACATAATCTACAAGTTCTATATAAGCCCAAATACAACACAGGTATTATACCCAGAGAACATAATGCAAGACAATGTAGAAAACTTCCGAACAATCAGTCTCATGTGTCACACATTAAAAATATTTCTGAAGCGGATACATAACAGGATATACAAATAGAATATTAGAATAAGGTATCATCGAGACTGAATTCTTAGGAACAAGAGAAGTACTACTTGCCCTGAACGTTATTGCCCAATGGTGCATAGGTATGAATCAAGAACTGTGTGTCTGCTTCATTGATTCCAATAAAGCTTCTGGTGATAAAACTTATCATACGATTTGAATCTTAAAACTTCAACTAAATGTTTTTTTGATTGCAAGTATCTTAAAAATAAACATCATGCTAACTGAGGAACTCTTGTAGCACATATTTTTTGCTGTTGCTAAAGTACTGTGATAACCAGCCTTTTACGAATATATAAATATAAATATTTAATATTTAAATATTGCATAATTAGTTATTACTGTGTTTTCATTTCTTTAACTCCACAAACTAATATTTTCTATAAAATATTTTAAGTATTTTAAGTATCACTCACTAATAATAACATATTTAAAGGAAATCATTGAAATAATAATAATAAATGATCGCAACTATTGATAATTACGGACTTATAAATATCAATAGTAATAATTATTTCTAGTAATTTCTCTATTTACATTGTTATAAGATGGCTAGATTTCGTATCTTATTTGCTAATAATTTATTTTCAAAATATGAAATATTTCAATACAGGTATAGTATTAAATTTATTATTATCAATTTTTTAAATAATAAATTTTGGTGGACAGCCTTTTATTTACTTTTCAAATTTTATAAATAAACAATTTTTTATACAAGTTTTAGTTATAATATATAATAAATTATATTTTGTAATTATGTAAAAATAAAATTTATTATAAAAAAATCATTATATGTATGATCTGATCGTCGAATTATGCTAATATAAAATATGAGTGATGCACATTTAAAAAGTGTACGTTTTATTCGCCAAACTTATTTGGACACCCCGTATATTTTAAAATATGTCAAGTTGTGCATCCTAAAAATCGTTACAAGTTTTGCGTTTACCGTTTTCTCATAACTTTCGAAATCAATAGAGATAATGAACTCTACTTTGTCTTCACTTACGCTGTAGAAAAACAATTGTTATTTATAGGTAAATAGAATTTATTTAGAACATCCAATCCCAAATTATAACAAAATCGAAATAAGAAATATGAAAACATAGTCAGCTTTTTTGAATGCTTCCAAGTAATAATAAGGAAGGTTTTCTTGTTATATTGTTAGAACCATAGCACATGTTGAAATTTTTGAAATCTGTTTAAAAAATATTAAAAATAATAACTACTAAATAACGCTTGCATTTTTTTTTCTTTTATGAGTCGTCATATCCTCTTCAAAAACTTGATCTTCAATTTCAAATTTTTTGAAAAAAATTGACAAATGCGAATGGAGGAATGAATTTTTAATGATGAACGGGCATCAAGCGATGTGTAAGTAACTAAAAGAGGAGATACGGAAGAAGAATGTGGAGGAATAGAAGAAGTATATGAAGGTATAGAAGAGATATACCAGGAGGTATAACAAAATGGCCTGGCTCGCAATTTCACAAGAAATTTTCCACGAATATGTTTAATGTTGATCTTATGTCTAATGTTCAAGACAATAAAAATTTTGTCCTATGCGGATAAATTATCCTAAACATTTTTGTTCAATTCTGGGCGTGCCTCGACAGAACCAGCCTTAATATCGTAAACGGGTAAAACTCCAAAGGAAAATGACATCGAAAGAAGCCCGCCACGAAACTTTCGACTGAATTGAGCTAATTCTTCTATCAAAATGACCATTAATTAGTGAGCGTATATTACTGACACGTTCTCCATTCTTCAAATTTGATATAGGTACTATTTTCGCAACTCCTAAATATCTAAATTGTGTAAAAACAAACTGGCGATACTGCACCTGCCACGGATACGTTATCAAAGAGTTCGAATAGCACTAGCGATAAGTAGAATATTAACGATTCAACAACGTAAATTAATACACTGCGAGTTCCCAGGTCGAAAGAAACCACAATTATATTGGATATCGACGTGCGGATGACAATGGGGAAATCTGCGTGGGAAATTCGCAATAATGTCAAAAGAAAAAAATCCGTTTCCCGATTGGGATATACTTAAACTTTCTAGTCATTCAACATTGAAGATTACGAGCTGCAATGGATAATGGTATAAGTTCCATAACTATAGACTGGGTAGCTTAAAATAGGAGAAGCATTTTTTTGCTTTTACGTTTTTTGTAATATTGGATTTACATAAAGCAAATTTTGAAAATTCTGTTACATGGTCTGACAAAGCTGGTGTGGTGGTACTTTGGTGT